TGTCCTTGTAAACAGAGGACCACATCCTTCATGGAGATAAATTAATGTAACTCCTTTGACACCTACATACCCAGCAAAGCATCTGATACACAAGTGTTACAAAACCTAAGACTAGCCAAAAAACCCCTAAGAGCTACCTTTACTTATTTGATGGTATTTTGGTTAGCACTAAATATTTTCTTTCAATGTGCAATAATTATATGGTACAATAATGATATTTTAAGGGGTGGCATAACTGTAAGCCCAATTTCTGGGAAATTACTCCATTAAAGACTTTCAGTTTCAGTCTGCCAGGCTGCTACTTGCAGTTTAACCCGCTGATTTTAGTGGTACTCCTGACCTGTTGAGTGCAGATTCAGAGCCTCAGTACATCCAAGGTTTTCCCCAAAACATTTTTGCATCAAAAAACCCACACTCGTATCTTATCAGCCATCATGCAAATTCATAGCAGGCAATGGGGAAACTTGGTACTTTTGAAAGCAAGTTTCTGTCTTGTTGACTGAGATTTTAGTGCTAAGCAATATGGCATTAAAATTTAGATTAGCTTTTAAAATAGATCCCTGGCTATTTGACATTGTTTCCTTTAATTCCTCATCACTACTTTAAAAAGTAATGCAAGAAATGCGATGTTGTCTGTATTCTTACTGTATCTTATTTTTCACACAGGATGGGCATTTGTCACTCTGCTTTTTTTGGCATGTGTATGTTTATACCTCCGCATGTTTTATGACTTTAATAACCTGATGCTACATTATGAACTGAGCTTTTTGGGATTTCTCTGTCCAATGCCTTTAGAAAAAACAACTGTAGCAGTACCATTGGACTACAGTCAGAGATTTCCCTTTCCGATCTTAAAAGCCTTCTTATTTATCCCCAAATATTGTCTAAGAATTCTACTGGTCTCCTAGGTAAAGCTACCTCATTCAATGTTCAGCGTGGCTTCTAGAGGGGGAACTCAATGACAAAGTCAGAGGTCTTTTGCAGACAGGATGACATCATGATACAAGACGGCACGGTCACAGAATGTACTGGTCCTTCATCTCTGAAACGGCAATTCACATCTGAACAGAGATGATTAGACAAAATTAGTGCACTTATTCCCTCTTTATTTTCAGTGGACATGAAGTCAGACCACAAAACTGCTGCAGAGCCTTGCAACTGGCAGGCTCGGGTCATGAGGAAGCCAGTGCTTGAGAGAGTAGAAGGTCAGGACTGATCACCAAAGGCAGAGCTGGCGTACACCAAAGATCTCATAAAGCCTTGCGCAATCTGTGTGATCAAGACTACGTGTTAGTCCCTTGCTTTCATAACCATAGATGTTTTCAGATCTATTGAAAATAGCTGATAAAGATTCCTCTGTGGTGATGGGTATCACAAAGAGGCTTGGTATCACAAAGAATGGAAAGGAGCAACATAATTGTCTCATGTCTTGGAAGCAGTTGAAACCATCTGAAAACCATCTTAATGATCTGCTACCGGGATGTGTCATATTCCAAAAGCTAAATAATCTGTTGAATTGACAGATAGATAAATGTATAAAATCTGTATAGATTGTAATGTTTTATCTATTTCCATCAGTGTATATATGTTTTTCTCTCCTTCTGTTTGCTTTCTCACCTTTTTGCTATGAATATTGCCCTGTGTTTAGACTTCCAGAACCAAATTTTGAAAGCTAATTAGATATGGAAGGATTTGAGTGAAAATCCTATATGGAAGCCAGATCCTTCATTAACGATGAGACAGAAGCATATAATAAATGAACTAAAGAAACTCGCATGTTTTGGTTGTTTGTCTAAGACGATAACGTGCATTGCCTCACTCATCTGGAAAAGGGAGTAGCGTTGAGTAACTTCGCCTGTGTTCAGTGCTCGGAAAAATCTGACATTTTCAGCTAAGAGTTACTAACCGTCATAAATGGAGAAGTAAGCTGCAGTTTTCAAGACTCCGGCTGTTCTGCCCAGAATGCTCCCCTGATTAAGCAACGAGTCAAGTCCTAAATGATTTCTGCTAGTTGGCAGCATGAGGAACATCCGTAACAATGAGATCTTGGGGTTACAGGCAGTGAACAGAGGCATTGCTGAATGAATTTGGAAAGAATTCAGAGCAGTACTTTTCTTTTTTTATATCCAAGTATTTTTATTCAGTGAGGTTGAGACAAAGGTGGTCTTGGGAGAAAAAAAAAAAGTGTAACAATGTAAGGGATCTTGGGTACTATAGTATCATCGAAAATAATTCAGTGGCAATTTTTGCTAATACATTCCCCCCCCAGAAACAAGTCAGACTGCTTTTCTCACCAAAGTTAGGGTTTGGGAGCTGATTTGGATTTTACATGGATGCAAATACGAAGGGATACTATTAGGGATATTCCACTGCTGCACAGCTGAGTTGATATCAGAATTTGGACTAATGGCTCCAGCTTGAAGCTCTCCTTGTAACTAAGGATAGCAGGATTTGAGTATTAATCAGGACATTTTAGCTGTAATATGTCAAAAAGAGCTTGCAATACTTTTCGTTAGTTAAGTACAGTTGTTTAATCTAATATCTGGTTTTACTTTATTATATGAAAGGATTCCAAGAGGTATGTTTTTGTTTTCAAATTCAAATACTGCTTAAAATGAGTATTAAAATGTTATCCTACAGTATTAGGAATCTAAATAAAAGAACTTATGGCCAGAATGAAGAAGGATATGATATTAATTCCTATTACAAATTAAACTGAAGAGGCTGTCTGCATTGTTCCGAACGAGAGAAATTAAGAACTGCATACTGGTGTTTTAAAACACCTAAAATTGTAGTATTCTGCAAGGTTTTCTAGCTGTGAGAAAACATTTAATCCTGATGCATGTACTGTTCTCTTTAGGGCAAATTGGATCAGGTCCTTTGTGACCAATTTTGCTTATTTACACTCTCATATACAGTTTAGCTTTAATGCATTGCATGGTTAAAGGACAATCAGGAATTTAGCCCAGTCTTCCTTAAATTCTTGCTAGACTTTATGTTAATTTAATCCCTTATTTCTCCAGTTATCTAATACAAAGCATGATTTCACTGTCATTAAAGATCACCTTGCTTCCTGTTTTCATATTCTTCTCGTTATTATTCTTCTCATTGAAGTCTCCTTTCTAGTCATAATGAACACTTGGAGCATTTCGTTGAGAAAAATGAGGAGTTAAACATTTTCTATTTCCCTAATCAAGACCCTGTCATTGTCATCACCAAAAGCCAGAAAAACAGGTAAAGAATGACAGAATTACATGAAAGGTAAAAAGGACACTGTCAAAGTGATTTTGTGATCACAGTCACTTATAATAATACACTGAATGTTGGCATGGCAATCTAATTGCATACTAAAGCCTGTTGTGTAAACTCAGTTACCAGTTGCATTACATAATGTTGATGCTCAATTCCATCAGTCACAATTGAGCATAATATGAATAGAAATTTGGAAAAGTCTCTGATTGCTATTGTGGAATAATTCATACAACTCGTCAGCATGGCAGTTTTCAATTTAATTTGATTTTTGAAACAGAAAGCCACAGTGATTCAATTCTAGAAGAAAAAGTAGCCTAGAAAAAAATCACGTTTTGCAAATGGAGAGAAGAAAACAAAAGTAGGATAAATTTTTATTCTATCACTTTTGACAGTATCCTTTTAAAGGGAAGACTCAATTGAATTCTAAAGGCCAAATTCTCTTCTCATTCACATCACAATAGCTCCAGAGTAGGCCTACCAACTTTCCTAGAATTACACCAGATTTACACAAATATTAATGGCAGCAGAAGTTGGCTTTTCAAGCCTAGCTGTTTCACAATAGGAATACATTTTAAGAAGTGATATATAAAAGAAAATAGTTTGGGGTTTTTAATTCCATTAAATTAGAACTGCAGTATCACAGAGAAAGGCTGATTCCTTTTTTGGTCTCAGATAAGCTACTTTCAGGAAACAGGTACAACGAGAGTAAGACAGAAAGCTCAGAACAATCTTTGAATTAAGAAAGTGTTCAGGAGACACACTTGGTTTCTTGCCATACCACAGATTTCTTATCCTGAAATCTGTATTTCACAGAAACGGAGGAGAACAGGACATGGAAAATTGATCTGAAGGCTAAATTAAATTTCTCCTGCAGTGACCTGTCTGAGGAACAGAAGGAAGGGGAAGAAGGAAGGCTGAGAGTGGCGCAATTCAAAGAGCAAAGACATTAAGTGACAGCCCCAAAAAAGTGTCAGAAGTCTTCCAACAGGAGGTATGCCATTCACATCCATCCCACCCCCTGGCGAAACTCTCTCCCTAGCTATTTCCACTTGATTCACGTTGTTTCTATACTTGTTGAAATGGTTCACACTGTTTCACTGTTATTACCTTTATTATTTTACCTATCCACACTTGTCTCTGCCAGTCTGTTATTCATAATTGCTAGGGCTCCAACCCCACCAGAGAATCCATTTTGCTTTGAATTAGAGCTCATTTGCCTCGGATAGCCATTAGCAGTTTCCGACAGCTGTTTCTGCATGATGGCCAGTGAGACTTTATTGGAGGCCAGGAAGTCTTTCATGGAGATCATCTCGCCTGACAGCCGGCGTCCGTCTGTGTCACTCTCATTGACAACGTCAGTCTCGATGGAGATGTTTCTCCGGCTGCGCACATTTCCTGGCATTACCACATTCCTCCGTGAATGAAATAATTTTCTTTGGCATCTGTGGCAGCACCTGCAGTCCAGCTTCTTTAATATCCAGTTTATGGATTGTTTGATGACAATAGAGATCACGTTAAATAAGGAATAGATGCAGCACACCCCCATGAGTATGAAGACAAAATTGCCAAAGCGGTAAAGGCCTTGGCTCTCATACTTGATGTTCTGGCTACTGACCAGATCACCGAAACCGATGGTGCTGAAGGCCACGAAGCAGAAGTAAAGCGAGTCAAAGTAACTCCACCCTTCAATCGGTGTGTACATTGCAGAGGCACAGCAGGAAATGATGAGCGATGCTACACATAAAATCAGCATGACGTAGTACACAGAGGGCTTCCAGCCCGCCAGGCTGTCCACCTCGGAGGTCCCCGAGCCCCGCCGGCCATTGTGAGGGAGGACCCCTTTCCTCCTCAGCTGTCTTTCATGGCAGGACTTCATGACGTAGGCTATGACAGTGATCAAGCGCTCCAGGAACAGGTTGAAGAACAAAATGGTCCCTGCACATCCTATAAGGCCGTAAAATATCAGAAAGATTTTGCCTCCGACGGTGGCTGGGGTGGTCATGCCAAACCCTGGAAGACAAAACAGAACAGTTGAAAAAAATAAACCTGTAGTTACCACGTCAGGAGTTTTGTCACAGAAAGAACTGGCAGCAAATCCCCATGGCACACATCAGCTCTGGAAAACAGTGGAGACACTCCCCCAAACTGTTACCTACTTGTGCTTGACCTTGTCCCAGCAGTAAGGGGAAGAAAAGTCATGCCAGCATTTCCTCCAGAATCAGAATTCAAGTAGTACTCATGATAAATAACTTTGCTGCTGTTTTATTAGGATTAATAAGGGATTACCTAACTGATCAATTAAGCCAAAACAATCTTGCTGAGAGGACAGAAAAATCACGTTGGATAAGAGACGCTTTTATTTGTTTCCCTCTCTTCGTAATTGTGAGATGTTAATTATGAAATAAAGACATTAGGCTCTGGGAAATAAAGGAAATCATATTCAGTGTGATACGCTTGTGCTTGGAAGGCAGACAACTACAGCATGAAGAGACCATGTTTCCAACAGCGCTGGATTGCACTCATCCCCCCTTCACTGGAAACCTGCTACCAGCACAGATTCCTCTCTAACACTGCTCCTGTCCCGCACAGTTAAGTGACAGCCCTTGCCTTCACCCCTCCAGCACGACCCCCTCTGAACCACAGCCCCAAGTGTGGGCTCTCGAGGGTTGCTGCATCTTCACCTGCATCCACAGCCAAACCACAGCATCCAGAGGACCTACAGGAGGCACAAGCCTCCTCATCAAATTTCAGTGCTAGAGAGAGCTGGATTGCAGCTCTGTGCCGTGGGGAACAGCACCATGAGACAAAACACATAGACAAAATGTTCTTCGTGACAAGAACTTTTTGCCATTGTTCCCCTTGGCACACAAATATTTCCACTCGCTTTCTACTTTCCCCTTCTGCTCCATAACCTGATCCCCCTATAATTCCAGTTTTGATGCTTATTTTCTGTGCAGTCTGGCTTATATGCAAGTCATGACCTCCACCCTGTGGACAGACACGTAAAGACTGATGGACGAGGGGAACCTCTCTGCAGCTGGTGGGATCTGTCCAAAGCAGCCGGCGGGGAGGGAGGTGGGGGGCTGCTGCATCCCTGGCCCGCCCTGCTCTTTGAGGAAGAGAAGCGGCTGCAGGCTGGGCAGAGGCGGAAAGGTGGGGAGCCTCTGGCACAGGGTGAAGGGCAGCAGGGAGCGGCATGCATCTCTTCAAAGCATAAAGCAAATGCCCTGGGAAGAGAAATGTAGTTCAGGCTCACACCTCCAGCGTGGCATTACGCCTTTGGGCTGCTTCCCACAGGCCCCTCTCGGGATCCTACCACTGGCACCACGGCTAGAGCCTGAGCTCCTCAGGTTTGTTTGTTTAGTCGACTGGATTTTATCTCAGAGCTCAGATCTGCGTGGGTAAAAACTCACTAGCAAAGGCTTTGCAAAGGCACCAAACGGGCATGACAGGAAATGCACGGTGAACTGCAAATACCAAAAGATGCAGAGCATTGATCCAGAGAGGCAGTGAGGCTCTGACTACAACTCTGCCCCTTGTCAGCTCCTCCTCTTCAGCAGGGGCACTGTTTTGACCTCCTGGAGTAAATGTAACTTTTTGTTCATTTTTCTATCTACAAATCTCAATATATAGCAATCAATACTAACATTTCCAAAGAAGCACTAAAATGGAAAACCTAAAAGCAGTGTAAAGGTATTAACAAATATTTTCCTTCAAAGATCATTTGTCAAAAATAAGCTATAAGCTTTTAGTTCCAGAAATAATTTCAGTTCTTGAAATGCCTTGTATTTCCATGTATTGGGCCACACTATTCCTAGTTAACTTTGACCATCACAGTATACTTGGGATTAATTTGGGATGCTGTATTATAGAGTAGGACTTGTTTGACAGTAAGTACATTTTGCTCCGAATGGACTCTTGGAGTGTTTGAAATATTCATAATCCAAGTAAATCTGGTGAATTGTTTCAGCCAAGAAATGCAGGAGGGCAAAACTGTAAAAGGCTGAAACAGTTGAAATGAAAGTAAATGTTCTCTTTGGGCATTTTTGTGATAAAACTTTTAGTTTCAAAGTATCAATCACCTTTTGGTTAAAAAACAGACAGTTGAAAGTAAAAAGAATGGAAAAAATACTTTGAAAAATCTTTCAGATTTTTGAAAGTTTCATAATCTTAAAATGGAACACAACATTTCACTAATGATCAAATCAAACCTATCAAAATTTCATTATATTTTAGCCTTCTGAAAGACCTAAAAAAAATTTGTTCCTATACAACTTCAGGTTAAGTTTTTTTCCTATTTTTTCCTACTGGCCATCAAACTAGAAATGCACTGCTCATTCATCTCTGCTAAAAAGTGAATTATTTCAAAAACCCTTTTCATACAGCAGCCCTGCAAACACTAGCTGGAAGTAAATTGTTATCCTTGGTGGGATCTGCCTCTTTTTTCCCCAAAATTTCTGTAAGGAAAAATATGGCTTGTTCATTGGCAAAAAGGTACGGCAATAGAATTTGCTCTTGTTTTAGTACAATCACTGATGATCTTGTGCTGTGCAAACACAGAGGATCTATGGATAAGTCAATTCTTTCATGATGTCAGTGAAAGTTCTCCCACCAAAACTCTCCCCTTTAACCTAAGGACACCAAAAGAAGCCTGCTTTCTGCATGCTGGGATCATACACATTACTCGAGCATCAGAGGAGTCGTGAGCTGTTCTCTCTGAAAGCAAAGACAATGCTTAGCACAGCAATGCCTGTCCTGGGGGCAGGTATCTCCATAAGTCCTGGCGGTATGGACATTGAGGGGAGACCTCATCGCTCTCTACAACTACCTGAAAGGAGGCTGTAGCAAGGTGGGTGTTGGTCTCTTCTCCCAAGTAACTGGCGATAGGACGAGAGGAAATGGCCTCAAGTTGCGCCAGGGGAGGTTTAGATTGGATGTGAGGAAATATTTCTTTACTGAAAGAGTGGTTAAACATTGGAACAGGCTGCCCAGGGAAGTGGTTGAGTCACCATCCCTGGAAGTATTTAAAAGACAGGTAGATGAGGCGCTTAGAGACATGGTTTAGTAGGCATGGTGGTGTTGGGTTGACAGTTGGACTCAATGATCTTGGAGGTCTCTTCCAACCTTAATGATTCTATGATTCTATGATTCTGTATCTCCATACGTCCCCTCTGCATCCTGGACCCGGTCAGGGCTTGTAGTGGCTCTTTTGTGTGAAGAGACGTGAGCGAAGGCTGGTGCAGAGCTGGGTGACATCTCCACGTGAACCTGGGACATGCACCCAGGCCTGGTAGCTGCGAAGTGCACCTGTGTTCCCCCACCAAGACACAGCATTAGTGCCTCACCATATATTTTCCAGAAGATTGATGAGACACTAGCAAAAGCATTTATCTCCTCTCTTCTGCTTCAGATACTCTACAGGGCAAGGGACTAAAAAATGTGGATTCCCTACTTTGCTTGTAAAATGCCTTTTTTTCCTTCCATTATAGAAAGGGAGAATGGAGTCTGGGGTGCCGCTACAGCATGTAAAAACTGAAATATTGCAGCATTTAATTTTTTTTGCAAAAATGTAATGTGAAAAAATGCCTGGCAGGTCTCTCCATAGCAGCTGAGGGTTTCCCTGACATGCCACATGAGATGCTGCCTACCTGACAAACTGAACCAGAGAGGAACAAGCCATGAGGTATCTGAATGCAGTATGGTATCATATGGAGTCCATATGGGGACTTCAACTTCCCGGACATCTTCTGGAAATATAACACGGCAGAAAGGAAGCAGTCTAGGAGGTTCCTGGAGTGTGTGGAAGACAACTTCCTGACACAGCTGGTAAGTGAGCCTACCAGGGGAGGTGCCTCGCTCGACCTCCTGTTTACAAACAGAGAAGGACTGGTGGGAGATGTGGTGGTCGGAGGCCGTCTTGGGCTTAGCGACCATGAAATGGTAGAATTCTCAATTCTCGGTGAAGTAAGGAGGGG